TGTGGGGGAAACCGGAGCACTCGGAGGAAACCCACGCGAACGCAGGGAGAACATGCAAACTCCACATTTTGTTTTGTTTTTTGTGTTGGGAAAAAAAGAGCACATAGCCATACTGAATGAATTTAACATAATAAACTTTATTGTACACATACATAAATATATATGAAGTAAAAATAAATAAAGTAAAACAAAACATAAACAAAAAAAAAACACAATATAAACAAACAAACAAACAAAACATTCACACAAAGCGGGTTAGAGTAACAACTTTAAAGTTGCTATAACCTCTGGATCATAAAACTGCACCAGCATTTCAGGAAGAACTCTTTGGAGCAACTCCTTGGTGATTGCAGAAATGAGTTGCTCTCACACTTCTCCTAAAAAAAAAAAAAGCGCATGTATACAATTACTCGAAAATGTTTTCATTCTGAACGTGAACTTTAGTAATTGCAATGTAACGCAAGTGTTCTTACACTGCTCGCTTTCAGCATCTTTTGTATTTCTGGATACAATGTACACTTTCCAAGTAAAGTCCACCTTAGGATGCATGAATGCACTCTTCTCGTACTCTTTTGGGGAAAAGAAGAAAAAAAACACACAAGAAATATGAGTTGTTTAAAAATAATAATTTATTTACTTACAGTTGAAGTCAGAATTATTTTTTTCCACCAATTTCAGTTCAAGGAAATGCGATTTATTTTTCAACACATTTCTAAACATAAAAGATTTAATAATTGATTTCTAATCGTTGATTTCTTTCATCTTTTCCATAATGACAGCAAATTTCTTTCTTTCATTCATTCATTCATTCATTCATTCATTTATTCCAGCTGCAACCCAACACTGGAAAACAGCAAATTTCTCCAGAAGAAAAAAATATTATAGACAATACTGTGGAAAAACTTCTTGCTTTGTTAAACATCCATTTTCCATCAGCTTAGTCACTTTATTCATCAGGGGGTCGCCACAGTGGAATTAACCGCCAACTAATCCAGCATGTTTTACACAGCGGATACCCTTCCAGCTGCAACCCAGTACTGGGAATACACACTCAGTCACACTCATTCAGTCGATTTAGTGCATCCAATTCCGCTATAGCGCATGTCTTTGGACTGTGGGGGTGCAATGCATGCAAACTCCACACAGAAATGTTAAACTGACCCAGCCGGGATTTAAACCAGTGACAACGACTGAGCCACCTGGAAAACACACAGGTGGTCTAGTAATTTTGACTTCAACTGTATGCATAACAGTACATTATGTTGATATTTTAAAATCCTAAATTAACATATCACATATTCAAGTGGAAAAGTCTTGTAAGCAGATAAATAACTTACTATTTTCTCACAAGACAAGTTATAAATCTGGTGGTAAGGGGAAAAAACAAAAACTAAATTAGGTCAATAAATCATCATTGAACATTACAATTACGAGAGTAAACACTTACTTTTAGATGAGGCTTTATTGAGTTCATGGCATCATCTTTAATAATCCTAAAGCAGTCTTTGGATTTTGTATTTGGATTTGGCCTGATGAAGGATAATGTAAGAAGTATAATGAGCAACTCTGTAAAACAAATAAAAATAAATAAAAGTTAAATAAATAAGAAAAACAAAACAAAAATAAATCACAACTTTTCAGTGGATTAACGCAAATGAAATCCTCCTTACCACAAAGCTTTCTGCTGTCCATCTTTTGTCGCTTACTGCAAATCATAAAAGACTTCTCATTTATATACCAACAAATTTAACCTCATGCTTGACTGTGTTCAAAAATTCAATCATTACCCGTACGGACTTATCACACACGATGACTCAAATCATATTGCTTATCATCAACCCACACAATTTCACATGAATTCCAGATGCAACAAAATCATCCTGAAACTATGGTGTGTGTGTGTTTGTCTATGGATATTTTCAATAGTGATGATTTTACAATTGTAAGCGTTTACGCAAAATTGATTGAAAAGTAAGAGCAAGCAAAATGAATTGGAATCAACTGTTCCTACTGAACATGTGTTGTGGTCTTTTTATGATAAAGATCACTACAGCTGTCCCACAAAATAAGATTAGCGTCGATATGATCTCACATAAACTTTTTTTAAACTTCTTTTAAAAAACGTAATAGCAAGAAATTATGAGCCACAATGTTTCTCGCCATGTATGCGGTTAATTTTTCTCTTCCTAGCAGTGGATGTGTGGTCGTTTACAAAAAATTCTAAAATATATTTTATAAATTGTAACATATTAAATGCATAATTGCAAGTAAAATTTTGAAATGCTCTGCATTGTCTTTCAGTATTTTTGCAGAAGAGCCCAAGAAAAATGGTTTAATGGATTTATTTCTAAACAGCAATAATAATCAGCATACCGGAATGAGTTGTGAATGATCATGTGACTCAAAAAACTGAAAATATCTATTCTGTTATGTTAGACATTTTCTGGTATAGAAACATTTTTAAATTAAGTATTAAATTAAATAAAATATCTGACTGAATTGAGTTAAATATTCAAACTCTGAATGTCACTACAAGCATGTAAGATGACTACTCAGCATTTGTTTGATTTTGTTTATGCTTTCATACAAAGTTTTTTTCCTACACGACATTCCAAAAGTTCAATTCAAAGTGAAAGCAAAGGTAATGCTATTAATATTATTGCAACTGCAAACCCTCAGATTTTCCAATAATTATCAGATGAAAAACTGGAGAGGTAGTTACCCAAAACCAACTTGCTCAGTTACCACAAGATCAAATCATATACCCAAAACCATGTAGGGTTCCTAAAGCATTGTCTGACTGTAGTGCCTGGATCATTTTTAGATTTAAATGTCTCACAAAACAAACAAACATTATTAATGCTTCATTATTATTATTTTACAAAATTTAGTTTTTAATGTAATCCCTTTAGACCAGGGGTGCCCAAACTTTTTCCAATAAAGGGCAAAAAAGCAAACTTGATTAAGGGTTGTGGGCCAAATACAGTGAATCCAGATATTCGTATCGCTTCACCTTTTCCACATTTTTTATGTTTCAGCCTTATTCAAAAATGGATTAATTCATTTATTTCCTCAAAATTCTACACACAATACCCTATAATGACAATGTGAAAAGGCTGTAACATAAAAAAAAAAAAAAAACGTGACGTGCTATGAATACTTTCCGAATGCACTTTAAGTGTGTGTATATATATACTGCAGATATATATATATATATATATATATATACACACACAAAACATTCATTCATTCATTTTCTGGTCGGCTTAGTCCCTTTATTAATCCGGGGTCGCCACAGCAGAATGAACCGCCAACTCATCCAGCAAGTTTTTTACGCAGCGGATGCCCTTCCAGCCGCAACCCCTCTCTTGGAAGCATTCTCACACACACACACACACACACTCATACACTACGGACAATTTAGCCTACCCAATTCACCTGTACCACATGTCTTTGGACTGTGGGGGAAACCAGAGCACCCGGAGGAAACCCACGCGAATGCAGGGAGAACATGCAAACTCCACACAGAAACGCCAACTGAGCCGAGGATCGAACACACGACCCAGCGACCTTCTTGCTGTGAGGCGAACATGGTACCAACTGCGCCACTGCGTCACCATATACGAAACAGTATATATTATTAATAATAATTTCCTGATTTATTGGGTAATATTTACAAATAAGAAAATGTTGCTTTAAATTATATTAACTAATGCAGTATCATGTTTAACATTTAATAATCAACTTATTACAGTAAAAACATCATCAATCCCATTTATAACACAATGGAGTTCAACACGGAATAGTCCAGCTGCTCCTGCCTTTACCTTGATTTACTCACAGATATCTTATGCATTGTCCGCTATCTGACAGTATTTACACTTTAAAAGTCTGATTCATTTACACCATTTAATAAAACCATTTAATTTCACTCTGCTTTTTTTTTTTTTTTTTTGTAGCTTAGCAATAAAACAAAAGGTAACGTTAAACTGCTATGACAATCTGTCAAAGGCAATCACCTCAACCACCTACCCGTCATTCTCCCTCTCGGCCCAAATCAAAGGTTACCATGGGACAACTTTGGCCCGTGGGCCCTACTTTGGGCATCTCTGCTATAGACCATTTCAAAGTGGTCATGTCATTGGCCCATGAACATGTCCTGCTGGCAATCCAATCATAACCCAATGTTAAAACAGCTGTCATAACATTATTCATCAATATGTGGCTCTTTTTGGATTCTCAGAAGCTATAGAACTGAAAAATGTAAAACAGTAAATAGGGCGGGACCATTGTTTGTGTTTACATCCCTCAAAAGGGTCTATAATCTGATTCCTGGTAATAAACCATTTCAATACAGCACTCCATTATCAAACCTATAAACTAGCTACCCAACCACAATTTGGTTTATCTAAACTCTTTATCCAGTTCAATCCAAAAAAAAAAAAGTGTTTAAATTAGTTATTATCTGTTTATTATTTGTAGTTTATCATTTGTTATTATTATTATCATCATCAGGGCTAAAAAAATGTTGTTCTGCTAAATATTTTAGATTTTTTAAATATTTAGTTTAATGCATATAGCAGGGGTCATCAAACTTGTTCCTGGAGGGCCAGTGCCCAGCAGATTTTAGCTCCAACCCTTATCAAACACACCTAAACAAGCTAATCAAGATCTTACAAGGTATACTTGAAACACCCAGGCAGGTGTGTTGAGGCAAGTTGGAGCTAAACACTGCAGGGACACCGCCCTCCAGGACCAGGATTGGTGACCCTTGGCATAGAGAGTTCAAAATATCAGCATTTATTTGAAACAATCTCATTTTGCCTCACCTGAACCACTTTGAATCATTTTTTTGAACATTTTCTATTAATTAGTATTAATATAAACACTTTACAGACCCCAAACATTTTAACAATAGCACAGTATTTGCAGTAACATCAGTTAAAGTCAGAGTATGTGACATAATAGCCATTCACATAAAAAAAATAACACAACATTCATTGATTTTAGACATTTATTTTAAAGCATAGCGCCCAATAATTTAAAACCTGATTATTAACTCACCCAGAGCTTTACACATGCATTCTTGTGTATTTCTTGTGAATTTCCATAGCAAATGTTTAGGAACTGGAACAAATAGAAACATTTTCACTGTTTGAAACACCGCTGGCACAAGTATCACTAAAGTGCAAATAATAATTTAATAACATGAAAGCCTTGGCATAGGGCTTCGACCAAATGTTGCCAATAGAATAACCACATTTACACAACACATCATGAAACCTAGCAGCCATTGATGAAACTAGCGGTTTGAGAATATAAAGGCTGATGTATCAGTTTTGGCGTGGATAGTGAAGGATAATGAAGAGTTGGGGTCACAATAAGAATAATTCAACTCCAGTGCTAATATCAAAGCATATTGGCTATCAGGAATAAACCTGTCGTGCAATCAACAAGACAACCAGTGCTTTATGAAACAAACGTAGACTGACAAATCACATATCTGCAATCATCAGTTCATATTAGGATCACATTTTTTTGGGGAATGTCCAACTCAACCAAAAAAAAAAAAAAAATGGACCAATTGATGAATTGGGAAGGAATCAATTGGATTCAAGCGTTTCGCAGAAGAGTTGAGTAGATCATTTTGGTGATCTGTAGAACTGTAGCATGAAGCGAATACTGCACTACGATGGAGCCAAAGCCTTTATAGAAGCCCATGGTGCCTTCTTCACGTCGAATAGCATTAATACAGTCCCTCATTCCTTCATATTGAGTGTTTATGGGCAATACTTCGAAACCCAAATCGGTGTTGTCGATAATAGTGCGAGTTCCCTGAATGTGCAGCCTGTGCAACACTGTTTCCAAAGGAAAAAGCAGCACATCTGCACACAGGCTGGCGGCAAAGCTGGCCATGAGCTCTGGGAAATATGCATCCAGCATAGACTGGACCGTGTCCATCCCTGAGCCAGGGGACGAGTGCTTCGGCGAGCCATTGTTCCGACGTCGCAGCAGGTAAAGAACCAGGCGCTGAATGCTAGAACTAATGATGTAGTGGAGGATGCCGTGGAGGACTGTCGGGAGCACCAGGTTCCAGAGAGGAAGAAGACGCTTACTGTGAGGTATTCCCATACCCATTACACGTCCCAGACCCTCCTTCACGCAGTCCAGGATGCCAGGGTTGTCTCTGATGATCTCACTCTAGTTAAAGGACATTTAGAGGAAACACTGGATGAAGACTGGATAGTATAACAATCAGAACAAAAAAAAGTCCATCTGTATTTTGCAAACTTGACCAAATAGCAAATAAATGTTTTCAATACATTTAAATAATAATAATCTTTATTTTATATAGTGCCTTTAAAAGTAGCATCTCAAAGCACTTTTTTTCAACGCACAAAGCATCCAAAGTATTTATTTGCTTCACTTTTTCCACATTTTTTATATTACAGCCTTATTCCAAAATGGATTAAATCAATTTATTTCCTCAAAATTCTACACACAATAACCCATAATGACAATGTGAACAAATTTTTTTTTTAATTGTTGCAAATGTATTAAAACTAAAATACCTGAAACATCACATGTACACAAGGAGAACCTAACAGAAGGACAACCATCTGTGCAGCAATCCACTAATTAGGCCTGTATGGTAGAGCGGCCAGACAAAAATCATTCCCTGCCTGGAATTTGCTAAAAGTATGTATCATGTATCTATTGCACATGAATCTATTTTATTTTCATTTTGTCAAGCCTCCAATGGACAGGTGTTGAGAATTAGCAAGTTTGCTAAAACACTTAAACAAATGCATTTAGTTGTCCAGTGTAATTGTAATGTCCATGTCAAATAAATAAATGAATAAAACTTCAAGACACCTCCTTGGTCACATATAATGGCAGTATTGTGTACAATTCGGCATAAGCATCTTTGCTTAAGAAATGAGATGGAATAAACGACATGGATTCCGCTCCATTCATTCTTCAATGGCGGGGCTCCACGCCAAAATTTCTTCCGCCATGGCTACATTACAGCTTGTCATTCAAAACATTTTATTTTTTCAATAGCGGGTAGTAATCACACCAAAACATATTAAAGGGTAAGTGAATTATAAGAGCGCAAACTTTTCTGTAACCGTGGTAGTGCTGTGCCCCGTTTGTTTAGCCCTTTAAGGTTACGTGTTGACTGACTGACAGGTGCGTGATGCTAGCAAACATGACATATAGCCGTTTCACTTTACTTCAGGACGCATTAATACCGCTCTGTAGGTCTATTGGACACCTTCATATATTCCTAGTAAATCTAATAAATGCTGGAGACATGGTCGTTACATAAACGCACTAAATCGCACTTCAGCAGCATTTATTTGAGAGCACACAAGAAGATCAGCCTTAGAGCAGCTTATATTTAAGGGGGCGCGCAAGTAGTTTTGTGCACGATTCGTGCTTGTAGGCTTCATTCGTGCTTCATGCTTGTAGGCTATTACACAAATGCGATCTTGACTACTAATACTGTGCTCACGACATTTGTCATTGAAATAACACCACTCGTAGTTGGTAGATCTGTGTAAAAAAAAAAGGCCTGCAGCCACAGTTGGAAAAAATCCTAGAGGAAACACTGACTTATCAGTCCTTAAGAACAGAATGTGGAGCCTTCAGCACATAATCATTCTCAGTCTCAGTGCTGCAGGTGGAAATGCTGAGGAAATTTAGAAATATTATACACCCAAATATGGTGTACTGTACTGGTGTTCACTAAGAGGGGTAAACTGGGACTCTCTTCCTGTTAAAGAAGAACTAAAAAAATCTTGGGACAATGAGTACACTGCTTAAATAATAGTGCTTTTGAATTAATTGCATTAATTAATGTAGACGCCCAGAAAATAAGACAAAGATAAAAGTCCTACAGGGTGATTTTTACAATACTTCATTGGCTGTTTCAAATGCCAGTAGCTGATCTGCAAATAGGGCTGTGCAATTAATTGAAAATTCGATTTCGGTATCGATTTTGGCTTCTAACGATTATGAAAAAACATTAATCGTCCCCCTTAATCGTGCCCCCTTTCCAGTTGTACACATTTGTTGTTCTGCAAAGTTCAATTTCACGTGAAAATGACTTTAAAAAAGTATGTACTGTTATGTAACTTTTGCAGCACAGGATGCGCAACATTTATTGATGTACCTTCATATCATTCATGTTTTTAAAATCACAAAAGAGATTGCATGCTGCAGTGTGTGTGCGCTCAGCCTCAGAGAAGAGCAGAGTACACACACTGGTCAAATACATGCAAAATTGTGTCAAAACGCTGTGTATAGTGATTATTCATAACAACCCTCATATGTGTAATAAACAAACGAGTTGAGAATCAAAAGACATGTTAAAGTGAAACCAATAATCAGAACAGTACTGCTCTTAAAAAGTGACAGCGCGCAATATTCCTGCTGACGACTATTTTTATAATTAATCAAACAACAAAAGGACAAATCTCTCACTGCTCTTAACGGAAGGACTGCTGTAGCAATAATTGACGTTTTTTTTCTTGCAGTGAAGATGCTTTAAGTGAAGATGCATAGTTTGTTTCATATTTTTTTCTCTATTGTATTTATTTCCCTTTCCTTATTAACAGGGAGGAAAATAAATAAATATATATATTATATAGTTTCAGACAATCAAATATATATATATATATATATATATATTCTTTAAGGGGCTAATAATATTGACCTTAAAATAGATTTCAAAATATTTAAACCTTCTTTTACTCTAGCCAAAATAAAACACATAAGACTTTCTCCAGAAGAAATAGCATCATAAGAAATACTGCAAAAAATTCCTGAATCTGTTAAACATCATTTGGGAAATATTTTTTAAAAAAAGATTCACAGGAGCGCTAATAATTTTGACTTCAACTGATAATCATTTTGAATAATCGTGATAAAAAAATAATTGTGATCATGATTTTTCCCATCGAGCAGCCCTATCTGCAAGTGCTCTTTATAGTTAATGAAGAGGAAAGATGTCTTTCTAAAGAAGTCAAAGTAGCACAATACAGTAGATGTGGAACAGATATTTTATAATACTCCAGTCTATACTGACTTGTAAAAAACGCAAGACCCGCATTACACAGCAGCAGCAGCAGGATATGAAGAGTTTATTTTGCAAAAAAAGATTACTTCATTTTTAGAGATATTATGTTTTATGTTGTGCATTGTGTAAAAGTGTACAACTCAAAAAACATGATTTTTGGAAATGACTAAAATTGTAGATCATGTTTTTTACACAGAGTTTTGAAGACTTCAATTGCAAAAAAAAAAAGTGTTTGGGTGTTTCCCAACTGGAAGGGCATCCAACATATGCTCGATAAGCGGTTTATTCCACTGTGGCGAACCCTGAATAATAAAGGGACTAAGCCAAAAAGAAAATGAATGAATGAATGAATAGCAAAAAATAAAACTAAAATAGATTCATGAACTTAAAAAAAAATAAATATCCTCTTCATATATCACCCTTTTAAAATCTAAGAGATTTTTGCAGTTTCACTGGCTACGCAATGGATGGAAACACAATGAAAAGATACAGTACTATTTTCTAACTCATCTGCATTAGACTTTAGACAAGACTTTCTGTATGAAAGGTGTACAAAAATGAAAAGAGTAACAAAAGTTTAAGAATACCGCCTCATGTACAGAAGTAGAGGTGAATAAGTTGGCAGATAAGCTGACTTAAACTTGCCCAGAGAAATGCTGTTGCTGTCAAACATTGTTTACATCACTAAGTCAGTTTAATAATGAAGGGATTGAAGAATATGCCTATTGATCGAAGGTTCGCGAAGAAATGTCATGCTCTCTTGTAAAAGTATTTTGTAGTATTTTCAAAATACAAAATACAGTATTTTATTTTGATACTTGATGTGTCTGCTGTATTTGGATACATGTAAAATTGAGGCATTTGATATTTTATTTTAAAATTAATTTCAATGTATATCTGCCCATCCCTACCAAAAACCATAACGCCGATCCTGGTCTTGAGATATTTACTTGCATATAACGTATAACCCTGAGTTAATTTTGTTTTTAATTTTCTGAGTTTATATTACAGTTGCAAGTTTGCAGTTTACTTTTTCCCCACTATAAAGTAATAAGAACTCAAGTGTGTGTTATAAAATTAGGAGTTTGAAAAATAAACTTACACATCAGCTTTTTTCCCAGAAATTTCTGACATAAAGTTGCAATTCTGAGAATCAGAATCCCAGGATTATATCTCACATGTTTAATTTATATCATACACCTGAGTTTCAATTATTTTATTAGAAATGTGAAGTGACAATTGCAAATAAAATAAAATATAAAAACAACCTGCAATCACACTTATGTTTTATAAAGTTGTTAATTTTATAAATGACAACTTTACATACCCTACTTTATAAATCACTTTATAGTTAAATCACCAAATTCTTAAACCATGGTTTAAGAAATCACGAATTTATTGACTACATTCACGTTTGCAATCCATTTTTCTCAGATTTGTATACCACACTGTAAAAAAATCCTGGTTGCTTTAATTTTAAGCTGAATCAAATTAAATGTATAAGTCTATTGAACTTACATTACGTTAAACTGACTTAAAACAGCTTGCATAACTTATAAAAATAAGTTAGAAAATAATTAGTTTAATAAGTTACGATGACCTAAAAGCATATGCTGTCAGGACTAATTGATCATATAATTTTCCACAGTGCATATGTTTTTTTGCATTCTGTTTCAACAAATTAATAAATTGCGCAAACACAATTGCCCGTAAACTAACTACATTTTAAAATAATCACAGTAATACTCAAGGACCAATTTCAGTTCATGCCTAATAAAGAGATGGTTTAAAAATTTTAACTGTTATCATTTACTCACCCCTTTCAAACCAGTTTAAGATTCTTCTGTTGAACACAAAACAAGATATTTTAAAGAAAGCTGAAAACCTGTAACCATTGACTTCCACAGTGTTTGTTTTTCCTACTTTGGAAGTCAATGGTTACAGGTTTTCAGCTTTCTTTAAATGATCTTCTTATGCGTTTAACAAACAAAAGACGCTCATAAAGGTTAGAAACTACTTGAGGGATATAGCATGTATATCAAAATATAGTGTTATTTAATAAATATATATTTTACAAATATTTTAATGAAAAAATAAAAATCAAACATTAACCCAATACATCAAGCAATATGATCCAATAAGATAGCCTGAAATAATCATTAAAAGTGAACCAGCCTTAAAAAAAATCTATGTTCTTTTTTCCATCTGTGTCAAAAATCTTCTTCAATTTAAAAATTAAATACAAATCTGTGTAATCTGCACAATGGAATTATTCCTACAGCACAGTCCAAAGCATTAAAGTCAAAATGAAAGGACGATGAATGCTATTATTGCATAACAACAGTCAGATTTTCCAATTATCATCACAAGTAAAACTGCACCAGAAACAGAGACATTGTTACGCAAAACTTGAGACCACAAGATCAAATCAAACTGTATTTCCTAAACCATCAAGTCTGATCTTAGTGCCTGGATAAGGTTTGCTACAAGAAAACACTTTACTCATTATTGTTTTCAATTTTAATGTATTATTTTTATGACTAATTGTGTTATACACATACATTAACATAAGTTAAATATTGAGCATGTCTAAAATATTATTGTATTATGTGTTGCTGTACTGCCAGACATTTTCACTTGTTTAAATATTCACTGAAATTATTATTTTACTTCCTATATTTTTATGATTTTCCTGCTTAATGCAAAGGCCAAGAAAAAAAAAAACAAATGACACAAAAAGAAAAAAAAAGTGTATCAAACCTCTTACCTGTACAGTCTCTATGAGACTTGCTGAGTAAAACGGCATTGCAACCACATATGTCAAACTGAAAAAAACAAAACAAAATGTATTCAGCAGATCAAACGACTGAAGAACAAGAGATAAGGAGCAGGTTGATAATTTAAATGTCAAGCCTATGGAATTCCCTTTCCATATTCTTTCTGTATAAACAACCTGCATATTAAGCTTAGTAAGAAGATTATTCAAATAGATCCCAGATATGCAAGAATGGGGTAAATGTATGACTCATAATTATCAACAGAAACAACTTGCTGCTTGTGTCATTTTCCATACAAAAACCATAATTGAAATGAAATTAATTAATCTAATTAGGCAAAACTCTTAACTTACCCTTTGAGTACTAAGTGTCCCACAACTTGTTTAGGGTTCCACTTGTGTGATAACTCCCTGTGAAGATACAATTAAACCATAATTTGCTACATTAATGGCAGCTAAACAAAAACTTATTAATGTTCATTCAAATCCTATCAGACCTCTTTAAATCAGTGAATAATCTTTTTTTAAAGAGGATGTGATGGCTTGCACTGCATATTTCTATACCTTGGTAAAGGGGTGCATTCACTGATGATCCCCTCTGTTCCCAATGTGACACCCTGAACAACAAAAGTGCTTCCCATTCCTTTCCATAAAGCTTTTGGACCCTGTGGGTGATTGTGAGAGAGAGTACAACAATTGTTAGTTATAAAACAAGGCTGCACGGTGGTGCAGTGGGTAGCACGTTCGCCTCACAGCAAGAAGGTCGCTGGTATGAGCCTAGGCTGGGTCAGTTGGCATTTCTGTGTGGAGTTTGCATGTTCTCCCCGTGTTCGCGTGTGTTTCCTATGGGTGCTCTGGACATCCCCACAAGTCCAAAGACATGCAGTACAGGTGAATTGGGTAAGCTAAAATTGTCCGTAGTGTATGTGTGTGAATGGGTGTGTATGAATGTTTACCAGTATGAATGAATGAGTTATAAAATATTAGCAATAATTTAGGGTGGCTACGAGTGATTTTGATTTTATTTTAAGTAACACATGCCCTGTTTACTAGTGTTAAATTCATATACATTATGCATGTTTTAATTTTACTGGCAACAGTCATTTCGCCGGACTGCTCCGCTGACAGTGGGAAAGACAAGAAAGAAACAAAATCAGAGTCGACTAAATAATGCCACAACACACAAAATTGAGAAGAAAGCTGAAACTGAAAAGATGTGTATAAATGTGATAATTCAGAATCATTTTTTGACATTAAAATGAAGATGATATTAAGCCTTGAAGGGCAACGTATTAATTTAATTCATGAGTTTTTAATTACAATAATAAATATGACCATATTAATTACATAAAATTAACATCTGCACAGGACAAAATATTTAGCACTGCCTTGTATGCTTAATTTAAACAAAAAATAGTCATCCTAAAACATTAAATAAATGTTATAGAAAGCAAAAATGTCATTTTCTCAAGCATCAACAAATTGTTAAAACCCCAATTTTTATTTTTTAACTAAATTAATAAGCAAAATTGAATTTCTTGAAAACGAATACTTCAGCTAATGATCTGCCACATTGAATCTTATAATTCCAAGCGAAAAATGACTTTCTAGAATTAGAAGGTTCAGCCTAAATTTGACCCATTTTTTACCCCAATTTGCAACTTTAAGAGAATTTTGAAAATTATATTCAGAGTATATTTAGGGTCTCTGTCAAGTTAATGTATGAAAGAGAACTGTTAAACATATTGTTTGCTATATGGGGTGCAAAATCTTTGAAGCTCAATATCTCAAAATCAATTAGAATGCAGATAGAACCTTGTAATTCCAAGGCGACGACATTTCAAAACCATATTTCTGTTAAAATCAGAATCTATTAAATTAAAAATAAATTGGATATCCTCAAAGTAAATGTTTGTCTTATTCACTTTATAATGTTAATGAAATTGTGTGCATTCACATTCAATATTTGTAAAGCTGTGTGTCAAAAACATCGGATTGGTAGAGAAAACCATGTTTCTGTAAAATAGATCCCAGGTATGAAGTGTAAATGGGAGAAAAAATGGTCCAAGCACCAACCCTTGAGGTACCCCATATATTAAACATAAGTATTTATGAGTAGCAATGGTATGAAATATATTACCTGAGTTTTGGTGACATTGTACATCACACTGATGGCTGTCATTGGGGACAAGTGGTAACACCTGGCATGGTAATTAACCTGAAATATGCAGTACACCTTAAATTAATGTTCATTGTTTAATGCTATTCGAAGTAAACAACCTATTTCTGCAACTCATGTGTATCCATGTTATTTAGCAATGTGGAAGAAAGCTCTATTCTGTAATTGTGCGACCAATGTGTTACCAACTGTGCTTCCATTTCATTTGCTGCTATGGGTCAATAACAAATGGCAGTAAACAATCAAACTACTTGCACTACAATCAAATGTGTTTGAGACAATATATTACAAATAAAATAATATGATGACAATATAGGTTTGCAACATTATTAAGCAAAACAAGCTATTTTGTGAGCCTTTAAATGAATGGACGTGACTGAGACCGGACGTCTTAACATATTTAAGTTACAATGCTCATAATAATGTGAACTATAAGGTAGATATACAATGTAAGCAGCTAGGAGCTTTTAAAATAGACATGAAGGTTGTAGGATTTGTGTGCTCAGTGTCTTATTCTGCATACCTGACATTGGCGCCGAAACACAATGCAGGGGTGGGCCAAGACATTTTCTGTGAAGAGACTAATTGAAGCCATACAATATAATTAGGAATTTGGGAACACTATTTTGCCAGTTATAATCTTATACTCAAGTATTTTTTTTCTTTGAATGAAAATCGTTGGCGATTATTTACCTTGCGAGACCAATTCCAAACCCAGCAAATCGATTCAGTTGCTCTGAAAGAAAGAGTGGAGGAGTCATTTTAGGAAAAAAACTGTCCTGCATGTCTTATGTACATATTTTGTTTAAAAACAAACATGTGTGTGCATAGAAATAAACAGATGAAATGATTGATAGAAAAACATATTCCAATAATTTTATCAATTTAATAAAAGCTATGGAGACCAAAGTATGCTCTCCTTGCCTTACTATGCAGTGAGAGAAATAAGTATTAAACATTTCAGCATTTTTCTCAGCAAACATATTTCTAAAGGTGCTGTTGATTTGAAATTTTAATAGAAACCAAAAAAATCCATAAATGCAAAGAAAGCAAATCTAATTAGTTTACAAATGATGTCTAATAAAATGAAATGATGCAGTGAAAAAGTATTGAACACATGAAGAAAGGGAGGTGTAAAAAGGCAGTGAAAGCCCAGACAGCAGCTGAAATCTCTCAGTAGTTTTTTAGCAACCCTCTGCCCATCCTCATTGTAAATTAATAACCGCTGCTTCAGACAACATCTACATTATCAGGATGATGAAGATGAAACCAGAGTGGACATTTCAGCAAGACAATGATCCCCAACACAGCCAAGGAAACTCAAATGGTTTCAGAGAAAGAAAATCAAGCTACTAGAATGGCCCAGTCAATCACCTCACTTGAACCCATAAGAAAATATGAAATAAAGATCAGATTTGATAGGGGAGACCCACAGAACCATCGAGATTTTTTTACACTTTTTTTTTTGAAGTCTATTAAAAAATAAAAATCACATCTTTGCAATGCATGTGACTTCATTCTCTATATGAGATCCATCTGCCATGACCAAAAAAGCCCTTTATTTAAAGTATTAAATACATTTCAGTACATAAAAGTATAGAAAGTATTCAGTATTTTCTCCCTGTGCTCTTCCATTATTATTACACAGAAAAAGTTTCCAATTAGTTTAATTTTTTTTTTTTTTCATGTTTGTATTGTTTGGGTTTTTACCAAAATCTGGTTTAATTCCTTGTCAACCGCTTCTTTAGAAATCGATTATTTCACTCACTGTATATACATACATACATACATACATGTTTATATGTAATTTTTGTCACTTTCATTCATTTAATCTGGAACTATACTGAACATTATTTATATATATATATATATATATATATATATATATATATATATATATATATATATATATATATATATATATATATATATATCCTTCTGCCTGGTTATAATAATATTGGCTAAAAATTTTCTTTTGAAATAATTTTTTGTGTATTAAAATCAATGTAAAATAGGTCTAGGTGACACATTAATGACAACCTTTTTTACTAAGCAAATGCATTGTTTATGATTCTGTGTCTTCAGTGTGGAATCGCTTAAAACAATGGTACACTGCTTAATTTAGATTACTGTGCGAGATATTAAGCTACCTTACAAAACATTCATTGAAATACTGTAGTTATAACTATCTTGATTAAATAATACAAAGTATCATTAGGTTATGCATATGCCTGTCACAACAATCGTTTTATCAACTTATCACACAATACATGGACTTGATCGCAATCATTTTTAGTGATGCAATAAACATTGCCCGTACAGAAAATCCATTCTATTAACATTTTAGCTGAATGAGCAACATTTCTATCTGTATTGGAGATGTCAGTATACCATAGTATACACTGTAGAATTTACTGTAAATTAATTTAGTATGTTTTCATATGGGTGTCTGACTAATAAATATATATCTTGTAGCAGATATCGCAGCCTCGGTTATATTTTATTATTATTATTTATTTGTTTAGGATACTCGTTTAACATTCTGATTCCAATGCCACATTATTAAATGGTAAAAATGACATATATAATCAAATGAAATATTCTTAAGAATAAAATATGATGTGTTCTTCGGAAGAGCGTACTTGCATTGTAATGCTATTATATTTTTATGCTGGCATTATATAAGTGGCTTAAAATGACAATAATATTGTTTATTGCAATATATTTTGGTTTAATATAACGTACAACAATAATAGATAACGTGGCAGGTCTAGTTATGTAGTATTTCTGTTGTAGGGGGTAATTAAAACACTCTTTTTGTCTTTTTACCTCACAAACAATTCTCTTAGAGGAGAGATTCACAATCCATTCATGGATCAAATGATGGGCGGGGAGTGACAGTGACAACACACACATCATATGCGCAATAAGCATGTTTAAGGCCATGTCTTATATACAGAAGATAATTGTAATAATAACATCTCACTGAATGCACACTGATCATCAAATTCATAAACTGTACTCAATGTTACCGGACGGTGGAGCCGCTGATTGAGCCTCGTCCGGTGCGGTCTCAAACTGGGGTGTGCGATCGTCAAAATGCAGGTTTCTGCTTCCAGGTATGTCTGGAGGTGTGGTGACCCAGTTCTGGAGGTCAGAGCTGGATGAATTATTGAATGACCTGCCCGAATAGCCCCCGCTGAATGCCGGGTCCTCCCTGCCCCTGTAACCCAAACCCTCAAAGCTGTCAGGCCGACGAGAAGTCATGCTGTAAATCGCCAAAGCAACTACAACGAAACGACAAGATATTTTAGTCTGACGTTCTGCGACTTCTAGCCTATGTGATGCGGGACGAGTTCATTGAAGAATATAGCAATTAAAATGGGAAATGAGAGAAATAATTGCCAATTGACCGACGCAATGAACAAGGCTAGCACTTTAGCAAAACAACATTACACTCGTTCGGGTGACTTTTGTCGAGTGACAGTTTACTTCCGGTTTGAATGCAGCCTTTTGGGTAATGTAGTATTGCAAAGATGCAATAGTTACGAGGGGGAAATCGTTAATTATTGTTAAGTATTCATTTTATTATTAAAAGAAGAAAGTATGCTTTGGAAAATACAAGGAAGGTAAAAAGGTGAAAAGAGGTAGATTTGGGATCCATATGTTATAATAAAACAATACAATATAAACACATTTTATAGCATTTTATAGTTTGATTGTACTATAATTATACCGTTTAAACTTTTAAAATGTCTTGTTTTATGTTTGTGCTTTTACAAATAGATGCTTTAGCATTGTTGATTTTATTTGGAGTTTTAGCCTAACTTGTCTCTTTTTTACCAATTCTAGAGGTTAATTAATTATTTCTTTAAATATAATTTTTTGGGAAGAGCATATCATATATATTTTAATGAGCGTAATTTAAATTATGCTTTTAGAAATAAATCTGCGGTTCCATTTGTGGATTTTTTTGAGCCTTCTGCACAATTGTTTTAAGTGTAATCGATTATTTTTTTTAAATATTCATTTTTAGAAAACATATCTTGCATATTTTGTGCGTCATTTAAATAAAAGTTAATTATCCTTTTATGATTTTACAAAATATTTGTGTGTGTGCGTTTAATTGTTTTTAATACATCCGGGCAGGCGCAAATGGAGGTGAGGGCGCCCTCTGTTGATGAAGATATCAGTACATCAGTTTGAGCTTGAGATGCAGCAGAAGCAGCATCCGCTCAGGAGCCGCGGGGCCTGCGGTAGGATCATGGTTTTACATATAAAAACATAAAATGTCGATAATGACAAGCTGATATACGATAGTTCAAATGCTGTAGAAACACACACCTGCGTGTGTTAGTACGTTAAAACGTAAATAAGGATATCTGTATCGTCTTAAAAAGTTGTTTACTTGCAGTAGCATCTGCTGGATAGCTTGCAAGCTACGTTACACGATGTTTAGTTTTATCCAAGTAAATCTTCGCTTTGTTATTATTCCAGATCGTTTCATGCATTTGTTATTATTTGTTGCGCCACAGTTAACGATTTTAACGTTAAACATATATCTGGTCAGCTTTGTCGTTTTGTATTTGCTGATGTGACATTGAGGCTGATCTGGACTGAAGGGGACATTATTAATAGAGCTTTTTGTCAGGTTGTTGATCTCACTTTGTGCTTCACAGGTCCTATCGTTTTTCAGAATAAGCGACAAAAAGTATACCATCTTTCAGTAGATTATCGTAAATATATATATTTAAAACTGCACCATATTTGATATAGAAAGTCAGTGTAACTTAATAATGTTTTGAACATTATTTCTCCGGTGCTAACGTTAGGTAGTTTCATTTGTAGTTAACGTTACATTATGTTAAGTCGTAGTCGTTAAACTATGTTCATCATTTTAGCTCATATTCTCTCATTGTTTATTTGTTTATCTTGTTTTTAAAACCTTAATTTGAATGGTATTATTGTGTAGGATGTTGACAGAAAATACTATAAGAAAAATATATTGTATGCCACCTCAATTTTTTTTGCATTGACCATATTGCACTTAATTTTAAATTCTAGTTTGACTGGACTGTATAATATATATTTACTTATTAGAGCAATTACAGTAACACTGAACCTGCTTACACACATAACCCATGTTTTTACAGTACTCAAGTACATGTAACGTTACAGTTGGTAGTTGGGCTGACCAATTTGGCCTAAAATCGATCAATGAACAATTATTTTATTTATTTTATTTCATTGCCCTCATAGTTCACTGACAAGTTTTGTCCACTTAATGCTCACATATTTTAAATTAATTGAATGATTTTAAAATAATTGAAGGAAACACACACTATCTACTATCTATGATTATTTACTAAAATCTACGTTAAACAACTGATGTTAAAAGACACATTGCCCAAAACGTACTTCTTACAAAAAAGGTTTCCAACTGGAGCTTGTTAACGGCACTTGACACTTGATAACACTCGCTCCAATAGGATTGCAGCTGTATGTGTCGCCCACGCTGGTCACTGCTTCCAAACCGATCAATCACAGAGCTTGCGCTTTGCGACGAGTTACATTTTTAATTATTATTTTTTTTTATAAAAAAGGTGCGAGGTTATGCGAACATGCTGAACTAAACGCGTGCACAAAACACAAAAGTACTTTACACACGGTTGGGTAAGTAATTGAAAAAAATTACCTGGAAAAATTAGATTGATTATAGTTTCTGATTGTTGATTTCAATTAATTTTTAATTAATTTCTCAGCCCTAGTTGGTAGATATTTTTACTGTAAAATAAAGCGTGTATATATATATATATATATATATATATATATATATATATATATATATATATATATATATATATATATATATATATATATATATATATATAAATAAAAAAAAACACGTGACCATCAAAAATAGAAGTACATTCTTTATTTGCTTCTTTGGGGCTTCTCCACACTGTAACTCTCCTGGATGTGGGAAAGTTAAAGGCAGACTCATCAGAGAACAATACATGTTTCACATTGTCCACAGCCCAAGCCTTTTCGCTGCTAACTCCATTGCAGCTGTCAATGTATTTCTTAACATGTCACAAATCTGTTTAAAGCAAAAGTTTTTGTACGTTGAACAATGCATATTTATTCTTTTACAGTATTAAGCTTAGTACTGTACAGAAGTGTGTTTTTACATATTTTAAGTTTAAAAATAATTGCATTTACTAAATTATAATTATTAAACAAAATTTTTTTGTAGTTTAGCAAATTAGCAAAGCATTTTAACATTATCTCTTGTTTGGTCTTAAAAAAATGTTCAAACATCTATTTACATACAGTGTCCCAATTATTTTCACTAGATATTATTGGTTGCTGGCAATCATCGGGGGTCCAGATGTAGTTGCAGGAGAATCACGTTGCCCCCACTGATCCACATATCCCACACTGCATGGCTTCAATTGCTGGTGACTCGCAGCGTGTCTCCATTACCCCAGTCCTGCACACCCTCATGCTGGGGTCTCAGGCCTCTCACAGACTGACCAATGACTGCTTGGATTGTTCTGCCTGTCAGCCTGTCTGCCTTCTCCATCACGGGGATATGGATCGTGTAAGTGTTTATGTCATTTATGGTTTATGACAGATCAACCAAAAATTTCAATTTGATGTCATACATAACAGTCATGTCATTCCAAACCCATATGATTCCTTTATGTCATTATATGTAAGATGAAACATAATGATACAGTTCAGTGCTCCCACACATAGTCTTTACTTGGGCGGGCTGCCCAGGTATATTAACAAACGCCCAAGTAAATTTAGTGACATTTTTCTACTGTTACAATAATTAAAAAAAAATGTTTGTGTCCGCCCAATATAAACAAACATTTAGTACATTTGGCAAACGATTTAGTAGTGGAAAATCTTCTCTCCTTTCTCTTGTTTCATACGTCCTGTTTCATTAGGTTCTGAATCTACAAAAATGTCTGGGATTTGGTTTTGCGTTCGTTTTCTATGCTGTGGTTAATTTTTTTGCGCATAGCCGCGAGAGAAAAATGTAATAATTAATTCTTTAATCTAAATGTCTCAGAAAAACTGAAAAAAAAAGAAATTGTACATCATTAGAGACGGGTCATTAACTCATTAGTCTTAATTAAATACGTTTTGTTCTTGTAATTATCATAATTTTATAAGATTTTGCCTATTTTTCTAAATTTTTTCTGTCATTTCTTTCTCATTTGCTGTATATTTTATTCATTTGATTGTCAACATGTTACATATTTTATCCATCTAAAATGCTTTGGCAATACTGTACAAAATGTCCTGCCAATAAAGCAACCTGAACTTGAATGGGAGATAGAGAGAAGCAGATTTGACCTGGTAGTGGGTGCGTGTGGCTCCTAAATAGAGAAGTAGTGGATTTTTTTTATTTACTTTAACCCATCTAAAAGAATGTTTTAACCAGATAATAATAAGATTAGTGTTGAAATCAAAATATGTATTGTTTGTTGTATATGGTTAACTATTTATGAACTGTGTGTAAAGGGTGTGTTTCAATCCGGCTACCACCGCAAGTATATTTCAAACCTGTGGCAAGCACTGCAGTTATTTACTATTATTATATATCATAAGCAAAAGTAAATTTAATAATAATATACATTTTAAAAAAATAATTGCATATACTAAATGTAGTTTTATAATTCCCTCTATAGTTTATGTGATTCATTTGTTAAATGTCATATACTTACCAACTGATAATCCTTTAATATTTTGTTCTTTAGTTACGCCATGGCTGTAATGAACCATCATGTATGTCCGGTTGAGAACTGGTAAGTTAACCTTGTAAATACTACTCCATTGTAATTGATATTCACATTCCTAAGTTTCTAATGATCAACATGATGTAAACTTGGGTGAAAAACTCAGTAAATATCGTATTACAAGCCTTTTTGTCTCAGATTGATGGATTTAGAAAGTACAAAAAAGTTTTTGTATAATTGTAAAAATGTTGAACTCCTGGTTGTGGTGCACATGTGGCACAAGCTGTTATACTGTAAATCTGGCCCAGAGAGTGAATATAATATATTTATATGCAGTTTATGTTAGAGGCCGTTACGGGTAGCACGATCGTCTTATAGCGAGAAGGTCACTGGTTCGAGCTTCGACTGGGGCAGTTGGCATTTCTGAGTGGAGTTTGCATGTTCTCCCAGTGTTGGCGTGGGTTTCCTCCAGGTGCTCCCGTTTCCGGTTTCAAAGACATGCGCTATATGTGAATTGGGTAGGCTAAATTTTTTGTAGTGTATGTGTGTGAATGAGTGTGTATGGATGTTTCCCAGTGATTGGTTGCAGCTGGAAGGGCATCTGCTGTGTAAAACATGCTGGATAAGTTGGCGAGTTATTCCGCTGTGGCGGCATCAGATTAATATGGAACTAAGCCAAAAAGAAAATGAATGAGTTTATGTTAGTAGTCTGCTAAACTGCTGTGAATGTCTTACAGATTTACATTACAAACTGTCAAAAACAATTTTTAAATATATATGTGTTTGTATGTATACGGTGTCTTCTGCAGACATCATGTTATGTTCTGTATCTTTCTGTTTGTCTGAAAACAAAACATTCGGTAAAAGCAGAATGACGGTGATATGCGTACGTCTTTTTCACCTAGCAACAGCCGTACACACAACAGCAGCTCGATGACGCAAGCGTACCAGGGTTCAGAAGAACAAAAGGCACTGTAAACACAAACCAGCCAAGGTGGCGGCAAGGGGGGGCAATCAAACTTGGGTACAGTCAAGGCAATTTAAGTGTGAAAGCACTCTTAGTCCCTCAGTGTGAAAAGATGGATCTTAAAATCATACAGTTACGGTCGAGAAGGGTTCAGATCTGCAGCTGCTGCTGGAAACCGAAATAATCCGTAGGACATGGAGGGTTTTTATATTTAGAACAAGTTTTGTGCACTGTATACAAACAAACACCCTCAAGAATAAAAAATGTCAGTTTAAATAGGCCAGAGCAGAGGTGTGGACTCGAGTCATGTGACTTGGACTTGAGTCAGACTCGAGTCATGAATTTGATGACTTCAGACTCGACTTGACAAAATATCAAAAGACTTGCAACTCGACTTGGACTTGAACATAAATGACTCGGACTTTCACTTGGACTTGCGCCTATTGACTTGTAAAGACTTGCTAATTTCTATAAAAAGCCCAAAGATAAAAAGTATGTTGACACAGAACGCTCTATCTCTGCGTGTGTGTGCGTGTGTGACAGAGAGCATGCACGCATACTTTCGACCACTAGCGCTTTGTGGCGCACTTCCGTGTTTTTGCACCAGCGGGAAATTTGAAGATGCCATTTTCATTCTGACTCAGAGAGTGAAATAAACACATCCGCGATCTGCTCCTTTTGTTTTTATCAGCGGATTTACAACATCTGTCAAAGGTAAGAGACTTTACTACTCGCAATGTGTTACTGTTGTGCAAAAGCATTGTTTTACTGTTGTGTATAAGTCAATGAACTTCAGTTTTTTTTAAACCAAATTTACCCTCTCGTGATTTATATCATATAATTATGAATGAACATGGCTGTAATTTATGTTTTTGCATTTGGTGGTTTGTGTCAATGCGCATATTATGTTTTATCTTTGTGTTTTGCACATCCTCTGACAGTATTTTCTAACTATTTAATTAGTAGTAACATTAATTACATGCCATAATAACTAGATATATAATTTATTTTTAAAGCTCTTAAAACTGTAAAAAAAAAAAAAAGAAAAGTTTTTTTGTTATTTTCTGGTGACATTTTGCAATAAGGTTTCTTTAGTTAATCTATGTACTAACATGAACTAATAATGAACTATACTTCTAAACCTATATTAATTATAGTTTAACATTTACTATTGCATTATTACAATTTAAAGTTATGCTTGTTAACATTAATGTTAATGCACTGTGAGTTAACAAGATTTAACCAATAATTTTATTTCCATTAATTAAAGCATAAAATAATGAATACTGTAATGAACTGCACTGCATTGTTTGTTCACATTAGTACATGCATAAACTTAACTAATTAATACAACCTTATTGTAAAGTGTTACATTTTTCATATTTTGGATTAATACTATTAATTTTATTTAGTATTTAAAACCTTAACGGTATTTTTATTATTGTTGATGTTATGCCTCTTAGCAATATTTTAGTCCTCTATATGGTTTTTAATTAAATTTTTTATTGCGAGATTGTAATGTAATGCATATATATTGTTGAATTTCTGTTTGTTTGTTTTTCTGTATTTCCCCCTCTATATTTAAGGATTATCTACTATTTTTAAAGTACTTAAAACCAACCATCTAATAAAAAATACAATTAACAATCACATTTTGTTTCATGAGTGTCTTTGTTCCTGTTTTGTAGGACTCTTATTTTAACAGATTTCATTTGGAAACACTTGACTGATCATTCAATTAAAGTTTTACCTTTTTATTCCATCACTCAATGAGATCATTTAATTGTGAGTTGAATTACTCCATTTGTAATTGTTTTTAAATAAACTAAAAACGAAGACTTGTTTTATTCAGTTTGTTGAATGTGAACTTCTCTACTTTACATATTAAAAGATATTTAAAACCACTATGAATGTATTTAAACTAATATTTAAATTTATATAACTGTTTCACTGTGGGTATTTCTATTTTAATTTATTTAGCACATTTATTGGCTATGCAAACATGAAAACAAGTTTTAGATACTTTGTGGCTCTTATAAATGGTTAAACATAACAATATCCCTGCAGAAAAATCCAGCGACAGCCAGCCTAGGCTGGTAAGCTGGTTTTAGCTGGTCGACCAGGCTGGTTTTAGAGGGGTTTTGGTCATTTCCAGGCTGGTTTCCAGCCATTTCCAGCCTGGTCTTAGCCTGGTCTTGACCAGCCTGGTTTAAGCTGGACATAGCTGGTTTTAGCTGGTCATCTCCCAGCCTGACCAGCTAAGACCAGGCTGGAAATGGCTGGAAACCAGCCTCGAAATGGCCAAAACCCCTCTAAAACCAGCCAACCAGCCTAGGCTGGTTTAAGCTGTTTTTTCAGTAGGGATTTTTGACAAAATGTTCTAAAATGATTGTTTACAAGTGCCTAAGTGGGATTCGAACCCCGTTCTTTATGAAAAGAAAGAAAAATCTGATTGGCTCTGACATTACTTTCACCAGTGGGCAGGTACTTCAATCTGATTTGCTGGTCTCTCACGCGCGTATTCAGTCTCTCTGCGTTTGCTTGAGTTTTGTCCACACTGGCGCTTCATAATTTTCCTGCTTTTGCTCTCCAGAGATCCTCCTGATAAATTGATTATTCCAGAATGTTGATATGGTTTATATATTGCTAAACTATTTAGTAACAATACACGAAAAACTATGAGGTTAAGGTAAATTCTATAATAAATACTAGTGTTTTTGAGAGTTAGGTATACTGCCTATGTTTAAGCCTAGTATTATTTACAAGCTGTTAATGAATGCTTCAGCATACTGTAGTATTAAGAATAGTGAACTAATAAAATGAAATACAGAGTGTAGTTTTACTACAGTAAAGTGTGGTGAATTGTAGTATAATATACCCAATACTGTAAAAAAAAAAACTACAGCACTGGGTCATTTGTTTATATTACACTTGTGTTACCATAGCAACTATAATATTACCCCAACAGATTAATTAAAGTACTTTACTATAGTACTGTACAAAACCCTGTCTATGCCAATAGATGTGTTCAGGGGCCCTGTGGAACAGCTTTTCCTCAAAATGAAGAGGATGACATGGAAAATGTCCTCCACAATCTCATCAATAATGTGGAAGACAGCAGAGACTAGTTCACTTTATTTTAGTTGCCATGATAAAATGGGATTGATAATGAGATTTATTTAAAGAGTGAATAGTACAGTAGGCTATAATACCTAATCAAGTTTTTCCTTATTTTTATCACAGTTACATTTCTGCTTGCGTTAGTTATATTTTTTGTTTAAATGTTTTTTTTATTTGATTAGTATAGTGAACCTTTTGGATGTTTAATAAATGTTTGTAAAACAAAATGCATTCTTTACATCCAACCTCTATTATCTGTGTCTTTAAGTGTTTGAAACTGGAAATATCTCATCATAAAACATACAGCCAAAATGTTATGGTTTATTAGATTAAAAATTTAATATGTAAGTCTATTTTAGTATTTTGGTTTTTGTTAATAAATAGTCAATATTAATTCAATAGTCAATATTAATTATTAATTCAATATAAATCATATCAAAAAGCACAAAAGGAAGAGGAAACACAAGACACAAATTCTATATATAATCTCTGAGAGCGCGCAGGAAAATGTGTGCATTAGCAGTGCATATTTGAGAGGGAGAAAATTTGCGCGTGAGCAGCGTATATTTGAGAGCTCGCAAGCAGTTTTGTCCACAGAGGAAATCGGTGCACGAGCATCACACAAGGTAGAGAGCAAAGTTCTTCATTGTTATGTGAAGAAAACAATGTTATTGTTTGTATGAAGTAGCCTACTTCATTTAGAATATGTGCTACCATTTTACATTGCTGCTAGACAGATTTGCATCTCCATCTCTTTAGCACACACGAGATTCAATTGACAAAATACCAATTTCACTCAATTTTACTTTGCAGCATACAGGAGTTGTTGGTCTACTGCTGCCTCATTGAGGTTGTTTATGTAGTTTTAGTTAATCACAAGTTGATCACTGAAGACATAACATAGCACAACTAAACTTAATGAACTAGACAGCAGTAGACCTGCAATTTCTGTGTGATGTGAGGCAAAATGGACTCTTTTTTTGGTGGAACTCATTCTTGTGCAATAGGCTGTGTAGACGAGACGCAGCACTGTTTAGCACTTTTTCAGAAAATTACATTTGTATCTTTATATATCTAAGCAATGTTCTTTCATTAAAAAAAGGTTTGTTTATTTAATACAGATCTTACAGCCATACATAATCTGTTTAAATTTTATTTTTCTGTTAAAAAAGACTCGAAAAGACTCGAAAATCAAACTATAGGACTTTGGACTTGACTTGAGACTTGTTGCCTTTGACTTGGGACTTGACTCGGGACTTGCCTGTCTTGACTCGGGACTTGACTCGGGACTTGAGGGCAATGAATTGAGACTTACTTGTGACTTGCCAAACAATGACTTGGTCCCACCTCTGGGCCAGAGTATTTTTTTTTTGTAGAAAATGCAAAAGACAGTAGCTATGGATCCATCCACCTATTTTTATGCACATTTTGTCGCATGACGGAAACAGCAAGATGCAAATCAATTTTGAAAATGTGCATACAAAATGTATGCGCATAACTGAGTAAGATAAACCTTTTATTCGATAAGTAAATATGCACATAAACTATGATGGAAATACTTTTACCAAACAAATTCCAGTATGCACATAAAAAAAAAACTTTGATATTGTTATAAGGTCATGTAATGATGTGTGTGAATGGATAAACCTGGCTGAGCACATTGTAAAACATCTGAAATGTTGTTTTGATCATTCTTAATTGCCTTTCAGAGTTAGTGTAATTACATAGTTAATTACCTTCAGAACTGTCGAGAGTGTCTGTGCATCGCATCTCACGCCTTTAAACACCACTACATGTGTATTGTTTGTCTGCATTGTCTTCTAAGTCAAGTTATTTATTAAATAAGGAAAAGATTGACGCAGCTTCTCCTACCTCAATAAATTCCATTTTTACTTTTGATATTTGGTGCCAGTTAATCAGAAAGGGACTATTTTGTTCTCTTTGATTTATTGGATCAAATTGCTGCTTTATTCGCATGTCTTCTATGCGATATTTTAGTTTTGCTTATAAATTTCATTCGCATCTTTTGATGGAAACATAGTTACTGTCAGTAAGATAAGGTCCAGTGTTAAAAAATATGATTTTTTTAATCATTCTTGATTGACTGAAGATTCTGCTGACAACTCATTTATTTTTTTTAAAGAAAATTTCATGCTTGGTTCTGTTGCATCATAGGTCATACAATTTGACATGCACAGAGGAAACGGCTAAGAGGGGCTTCCCAAAGACCTGCTGTACCCTTCAAGACATCCCCCTTATCAGGTGAAAACCACAAAATGACCAGATTTGGAGACTTTAGGTGGTACTGTTTTGCATCAACATCTAAAAAGGTTGTAATATCTGGATTTCTGCTCTTTTACCAGTAAATGTGGTTGCTATCCACCAGAGAGCTGTCTCTTCAGTTTGATAGGCAATGTTGGGGCCTTTATGGGTAAGAATCAGTTTCAGTATGACTGAAAATGACACGAGAACAAGTCAAGATTTTTACACTATTTTAAAGAAATCCTTAAAGAGCCCCTATTATGGGTTTTTGAAAATGAGCTTCCATGCAATGTGTAACACAGCTCTAAGTGAATGAAAACATCCAGCTGAGGTTTAAATCTAAATGTGCATCTTGTTTAAAACTAATGATTCTTTAGTAAAATAATTGACTCTGAGTCAAATAAAATAAGAGTCGGATCTTTTGTTTGATCGCATCGACATCGTTATGGTAAATCACCAAATATGTACTTCCAGTTTCGTTAAAATGTGCACACGCTTTCCCTCCACACACTAGAGGAGGCACGGGGATCACTGGACTGATCATAACGCTAAGAGGACGATCACTGACAGATGGAGATTCGGCTGCTGGAAATAATGGGTTAAAATTAATTTTCACAACAATACCACAGTATAGCCAACCAGTGGCTGTGCTTGTTCCTGTAATTTTTCAGATTTTTAATACAATAATCTACGCTGTAATGCAGGTAGTAATCAATTAGTAAAGTTTTAATCACCCCACGCGGCTTATAATCACATATTTGTTATAGATCAGTGCTTGCACTGTATTAAACTCTCAGGTTAAATCTGTATGGGGCTGTTCACAAATCGCGTCCAAAACCACTTTAAAAACATGACATGTGCTTCTTCCTTTACCGATTTTAAGTGCGTTTCTGAACTGGCGATCTTCTGCTGTTTGCCTTTGCTATGGCCACCATCAGCTGTTCCTACACACACGGGGCACGGTCAATTTTCAAAATAGTTCAACTTTTGCCATTGTGTGGATTAATACTGAATGTGTGTAGTTGTTATTACTTGGGATTAGGTTTCAGAGTAGAGCAATATGCTGGTCTTTAACTGCATTCATTTATTGCATTCCTGCATTGGGCTCACACATACTCTCTGGCTGCTATTTCAAAGCCATGGTGGGCTTTTCTCTCTGTCTTGTGCTGAACGCAGTCGACCAACTGCAACAGACTGGATCATTGGCCCAATCAGCGCAGATTAGCTTCACACTACGGAGGGGTTTGGGAACAAATAAGTCGCTGAATGATTCATATGGGAGTCGATAATTAGGTAAAAATAAATGCATATTATAAGACAATGAATGTGTTATTGACCTTGCATGCAGGTCAAACCAAAATATCCCCCTTTTTAATGCAAAATAGGGGCTCTTTAATGATAAACAGGAATGGAATAGTCTTAGAATTCATATATTTTACATACTATATGAATGGAAAATAGATATTTATTAAAATAAACACAAAATGCAAAACAGTTTAGGTGTTTTTTTAATCAGCTTGTAATAAATTTACTTTCATTTTAAAGAACATTTAATTTTATGTATGACATAAAATGAAATATATATATGTAAGAAACAACTTTTCACCTCAACAAGAAATCTTGTGACACGAGATCTCGTTACACCCCTTCTAAAAAACCTTTTTTTTAAACTATAGCAGACTTGATCATTTATATTTATGGTGATATATGTGTGTGTAGTGGTCATGGTGTGCATGCTGCGATACGCTCAAGTGATTGAACACAGTCATCACTGCTGGACCAACACAAGTGCTTTGGTGTCCGGCTGCATCAATGCCCTTGGGTTGGTCATGGTGGGCAACTTCCAAGTAAGTTGGCTCATAACTTAACCCTGTTTTATACCAATCTATATAGTCTTGCATTTCTCTCACTCTTTCTCTCCATGTTTTTTGCCTCAGGTGGATCATGCCAAGACGCTTCACTATGTTGGAGCAGGTGTAGCTTTCCCCGCAGGCTTGCTGTTTGTGTGTCTGCAGTGTGTTCTGACATACCGTATAGCAGAGACAGCACTGGACTACTGGATGGCTCATGTACGCGTGGCTCTCTCGGCTGGAGCTCTCGTATCACTTGTCCTCAGTATCCTTACTAAAAATACTAATCACTATTTACAGTTTAGCATATCAGTATATACAGTCATGATCTAATACATGAAAATCAAATTTGTTTGAATACACTTGAACATGATGTTATTGGCATAAAACGCAGTGTGGCTAATTGGTTTTTAACAGAAGATTATAAAAGATTAAGTTTGGCAGTTGGGTTTTCACATTGCTAACATTTCAGTATTGGCCGTACTTCATCAAATGTCAAAGTTTGGCAAGTGAAAATCCCAGTTTTGTTATTTATTTATTCATTCATTCATTTTATTTTTGGCTTAGTGTCTTTATAAATCAGGGGTTGCCACAGTGGAATGAACCGCCAACTTATTCAGCATATGTTTTACACAGCAGATGCCCTTCCAGCTGCAACCCGTCACTGGGATACAGTTATGTTGTTATAGCAAATATTTTTAAATATATTTTTTGGGGGGAACTAAACTAAACTATAAACATAAATTTAATTTACACAATGGCATGTAGTCTTCAACTAGAGTATTTTTTGGTGGGCAAATGCAATAATAAAAAAAGAACCGTTTGAAAATAATAGATAAAATTAAAATAAAATAGCCAAATTCATACAGTATATCTGAGTACGTTACAAAAATGTGGTACTAAAACATCATGTAGACTGTTAAAATGTCATTTTTTTTGTGGCCTTTAAACTAAAGTTGTTGTTTTTTAAAAAAAAAAATACTTTTCATGTTTTTAGCTTAAAAACAATTTCAGATAATAACAGATTTTTGGTGCATAGTTTTACAAATTTGGTATCTCACGATTCATTATTCACAATAACAGATTTATCAAAAAAAAAAAAAAATTATACAAAAGTTCAATAATTTGATTACTAATAGAAAAGCTCTAGTAGACTTTGACAGTTTACAAATTTCAGTTAAGTCCATTTATTGTTATGAAATCAAAATAGATCTGCTTTGTTAGCTTACATCAGGTATGTAACGATTCACTCATGATTTGATACGATTGATACTAATCTCACGATTCAGTCACAATTTTTTAGCAAAAAGTATTTTATACAAAATTTAGATGAAGAGCGCTTTTGTTTTTTTGTTTTAGATGCTGCACATTATTTGCAAAATAATATATTTTCTGCCATTTAAAAAAAGTCCCTTTAAGGCAAGTCATTTAACTTGGCGACCATCTTTGAAACACCTCTCGGCCAGTATGCTCGGACATTCCGTTTAAATAGGGAAACATCAAATTCTCCAAAATAACTTGCCCACTTTACGATTCTATTTCATATTACGAATAACCAATAAAAATAAACGACAAAGCTCGCGTCTGGTCTGATCCCCTCCCCCGGAGAATTGTCATTCTATAGCGATCACTGATTGGCTTCTGTAATGGAAGACGGGCTTATTTGCTATATAGTGTTCACTGATTGGCTCCTGTACTAGAAAGCGGGGCTTCATTCGCCATATTGACAGTTACACTTTTCCCCATTCAAAAGTATATGAGTGACATGTCTTGTGTATTTTATAGTTTTTGGCCATAATAAATTTGCTATTTTAAAAACAAACATAGGATTTAAAAACAATAATAAAAACTAAATAAGACAAGCTAAAACTGCAGGGATTTTATATTTTTAAAAAGAACTATCAGCATATGTATGTTTTCTGGCATAAGCTAAGGTCTTTGCACATTAACAATGTCCCCTGCTGATGAAAAAACTCTTTCACTGGGGACTGAGTGGAGAGGTAAGCCTTTCCTAAACCAGAGAGAGGTATGTACAGAGGTGGTCAATAGTCCCGCTGATCCAGTGGACTGGGCACTGGCAAAAATAAACTGATTATTAAATTACTAATTATATAGTAGGATAGAGACAGCAGTTGACTTATGTAGGTAAATAATTAATATTACTTGTATAATGCTTTGTAAACCTATCAGTGTGATATACGTAAGAAGAGATAACCTTGAACACTTTTAAATATTCAATAATAATAAGCAAATAATTAAAATATGCATAAATTAATTTGAAAATGCTGAAAAAGCTGGTTCTGTAACAGGACAACCTTCTCTTTCAGTCTGAAAAAAAAATCTTTACACTTTGACTATTGTAACACTCATGCACTGTGTGATCTCCGTAGCACATATAAAGCAAGCGGCGCAGTCCAGTCCATGTGGTTTGGCTTATAAATAGTTTTTTTTTTTTTTTGTATAGACATCTTTGACAGTAGTTTTTTTACTGTGCTGAGAGATTATGTGCATCATATTCGTTCTGTTAGTGGAAGTAAACGTCTTTTTGCAGTTTCTGGAGACAGTTTGAGTTTTGTCTAGCGCACTTTACTGCTGTCATTTTACTCTGCCGTCCCAGCTCTTGCTCACCGCTGGTGTGCAAGTAAACAGCGCTCCCTCTGATCAAAAAATGTATCACAATTTATTTTACATTTCTACCAGTTTGATTCATGACGTATTTTAATCGATTTTCAGCCGACTTACGGTGAATTGTTACATCCCTAGCTCACATTTCTGTTTTTGAGGTGAACAGTTAATCCAATTTACAAAAATTAATGTTTGTCTTGGTGAAAAATGTGAATGATATGGCATTTGTCTTGCTGTTCCTTCTCTGATGTCAGTTTAGTCAAAGTCAAAGCATCTTTGCTTTAAACCACTCCCATACAACAAATGCATTGCTTCGAGCACAAGATAGCATTGAGGAGTGCTAAAATAGAACTCCATTCTCCATTCTGTAATCCATTTTAGGAAAAACATCACAATATTAAAGACAGTAAGAACTTTAAGCTGTTAACCACTGAATTGAAAAGTCTTCCAGTATCATCTTTAAAATGTTTATTCATTCAAAAATGAAAATTCTGTTATAAATTACTCACCTTTTATCATTCCAATCCCTAAGATTTGTGGTCATATTCAGAACACAAATTAAGATACTTGATAAAATTCGAGAGCGCTCTCATCCTCCATAGACAGCAATTTTCTGAGACACTCAGAGTCCAGAAACATTAATAAAACATTCCATGTCACCTAATTTGATCGATTGTAATCATACAAAGCTCTTTTTTCTGCACCCAATAAGTAATGTAAGTACAACTTTGTTTGCATTTGTTTGATTTGTCTACGCTTTGTGTTTCATTTTATCTTCTGATCTACTTGTGGAAAACAGACTACTGCCTGCCATGGGATTGGACGGATCCTTAATCCACATTTCCTTCTTCCATATGGTAAAACTATTTAGATGGTGCTCTGTGGTGCAGCAGAAATATTAACAGTGTATTGAGTCATAGCTTGGCGCTGTGGACAGCCACCGATTTGCAGCGCTGGTGTGCGTACACTGATAGAAATCTTTGTTTAGAATTCTATAGTGCATGGCGCTGTGTGGTGTGGCACATCTGGTGTGCGACCCTCTTTACAGTCAGCAGCGCAAACTGCAAGCGTTGTATTGCTTGTAGTAATTGCACATCTTGATCTGAAGTAGAACATATAGGCATATAGCAAAGTTTTTACTTTTTGTTTTTTTTGCACACAAAAGTGTCCTTGGTGCTTTGTATGATAACAGTCCAACCACTGAAGTCACAGTGACTGTTCTGAGGATTTTTTTGGTTGCTTTTATGGAGCTTGGTCTCTTGACTATTGCTATATCAATGGTCTTAAAGGTTTAAGACACCCTGGAGTACTTTTTAAAAATTTAACAGAGCACCTGGCTAAAATTTTTGCAACTGTCAGCTTTAATTGTTGGTAAAACTGGATCGTTTGAAGCTTTTGTCGGCTAATTTCTTCCTCCGGGTTTAACATTTTTTTGGGGGTGGGATCAAAATCGGTGACGTAGCACAAATCTGCTTGTGGACTGATGACAAGTCAGTTTCTCATTATTCAAAACTGAGTTTTCTGATCCTATAAGAAGACACTGCTTCTAAATTATTTATAAGGGCATGTGCTTTCCGAAGCCTGTGAGACCGCTTGAAAATGACTGAGTGAGACCATGTCCGCGGACGACACGGGTCGATTGTTTCTGTGATCCAAAGGGTTTGTTACAATGTTTTTTCCTGCAACGCTATCAAGACCGATGCATCAAGGCTGTTGGTTTGCAGCAAGCATTTTTGTCGGGAGATGCTGCTGTGTTCACACATGTTTAACATCTTCCAGATTACTGGTATGGCTAATGATTGAAATAGATAGGGCAAAAGACCTGCTGCACTGCTGTCCACTGTGTCTGCATTCAGACCCAGGATTTAGAAGGAGAAAAGTCCTCCTCATTTGTAGTGTTAATATAAACACGATTATCTCTATAATGATGTAACAAATTGTGGTTATGTGTATATGAAATTACGAATAACAAATGTTGCAGGGCATTAAATTACTTTTATTGCTTTTTAACTTTGTAAATTATAAAATTGTTCCCCTTACTGTTCGTGTCCCATTTTGTGAGCCAACTGACAACAGTTGTTCGCTCCCGCCTTTTTCCCCCGCTCTGCTGGCCACGCCCACACCTCCCTCAGCTCACAGCGGTTCAAGCCCATCTCGGAGCATTTTTGAGAAATTTCTGAGTTAGACTCAAACCGAATGAGGAGGTTTCATAGCTATTTAAACTCAATTTCTGGAGGGCAGCAGCTCTGCACAGTTTAGCTCCAACCACCTCCAAATCACCCTTGTTTAAATGTCTCTAGTAGTCTTGAACATCTTAATTAATTGGATCAGCTGTGTTTGACTAGGGTTGGAGCAAAACTGTTCAGAGCTGCGGCTCTACAGGATTCGAGACCAGCAGTATGCTATATACAGTTGGAAGAGTTCCTGCAGAGTTTAGCTCCAACCCTGATCAAATACAACTAAACCAACTAAGTAGGATCTGAAGGGGCACTTGGTAATTATAGACAGGTGTGTTTGATCAAGGTTGCAGCTGAACTCTGCTAGAAGGTGGATCTCCAGGAACAGGAGCAGCCTAATCTAATCTATACTAATTTGTGCTCCAAAGATGAATAAAAGTCTTAGGGGATTGTAATGTTATGAGGGTGAGTAATTCATAAAATACTTTTCTTTTTGTGCGTGAGCTAATCCTGTAAGTCTAACCATTTTTTTAATGTCAACCTGTTTTTAATGTTGAAAGTTACTGTGGTCATATTCCTTAACTTCATTCTTCCTTTTCAAGGTGGTGTCTTCTTCGTGCATGAGAGTTTTGTTTTGCAGCATGCTGCAGCCATCTGTGAATGGGTCTTCACGGTTTTGGTCCTAGTGTATTACGGCACCTTTACTTATGAGTTTGGCACTGTCAACACTGACACCATGATGGCGGCCTTAATGAAACGCAGTCAACATCACCATCCAGGGTCATCGGTCATTATGGGGGGCATTAGTAAGGGTGTTGCAATGGGATGTGGCGCCCGTGGTCTAAAGTCACCCGGAGGCAGCAGCACTTCCACACACCTCAACTGCACACCAGAGAGCATCGCCATGCTTTAGGAGTTAACCACTAAAGCACTCGCTCAGACCTCAGCACATAGACTCTGAACTCTTCATCTGGCTCATGGATTTGAGAAAAACTGGTACAAGCAATACAGCGTTTACAGTGAGTTTGCAGACTTGCTAAATATAATCATAACAGTAACAGGTAAGGTATTTATCGTTCAAGTGTAAGATAACTCAAAGAGAGTCTCAGTAACCAGCAGAGATGATTCTTTCCCCATGAATCATGGGAACTTTGAGAGAAAGGATTTAAAACTGCAATAATTCATCTCCAAAGGCACATTCACACTGACCATGACAAAAAGTGTTTAGGGTTAACCTAATTTCCCATTGGTTGAGGAAATTAGGACATCTTGTAGAGTGCTGCTTGGAAGATGCATTTTTATAGCTGAAACCCATAAACTATTTAGCATTTTAACTCATCCAATTTTTTAATCCTAAGGTTATTTATGTGTTATTATAATTTTTTGTACTTAATTTGTTTCGCTAATGTCATATGTATTAAAAAAAAACAATTCAAGAAATAGAAAGGTAATAGTGAGGGGTTTACTTTTAATCACGATGTTCACTTATTTATTTTTATTTATTATGCTTTGAAAATGAAAGTAGTACAAAACATCTCTTCTTTGTTGCTTAACAAAAAATTATTTATTAATTAATTAATCAAAACTAAATTAATCACTTGAGTCATTATTCCCTTTTACACATACAGACATTTCGCGAAAATTACCAGCTATTTCTGGAAAGGGATCATGTGTGAATGGGCCCTTTTTTAAAAATACTGGTAAATTTGTTCTGGCAATTTTTTGGAAAGAGAAGCTGTAACATTACAGGTAATTTTGCTGAAATGCTGCACTGTGTGAATGCAGGGAAAATTGCCAGAAAGAAATTACCAATAAGAACATTCAGACACATTCACATCCATGCTGTGTACGAAAATAAAAATCTTTGAATATTTTCCCAGACACATTTAGCTGCTAGATGTTAGTCAGATAACGTTCTATGTTCCTTCTTCAGTTGCTTTACGCGTGTGTACGCGAAGCAGCCAGTAAGTGACAGCACAAACGCATATTATATACCAAAAGCCCGACCCCTTCTATGTTTACAAATACAAGCGCAGCCGTTTAAAGGTTATTTCTGGTTAATTATGTCAGATTTAACTCGCATTTTGGAATGGATGTATGAATGGTCTTTTCCGGAAAAATTCTGGAACGTTCTTGCCTGTGTGAACAGTGTTTTTTCTTCATTTACCGGTAAAGTCATTTTGATAAATTTCTATCACTGTGAAAGGGGCTAATGATTTAGTGATCAATACTTGATAGCAAAGAGCTTAGAATGACCAAGAGGCGACACTCTAGTGTAATTTGGGAAATAGCCACTTGAAGGTGCGGCGGCCATTTTGGAATGAAAACTTCAAAAGAACAGAAGCATATTATAAGTCTGTTAAATAAACTATTAAAAGTGCTGATGATTGTGGTAGTAAGTGTTGTATTGTCGTCTTTCAGGTTGTATCTCAGCTTTAATGAGCTTTTTAAATAAATAAAAAAACAAACAAAGCAGCTGCTTGCCATCACAACAGTAATGCGATTCAATGGACAGCCGATCACTTTCACTCCAAAATGGCGGAGTCCGGGGCTGTTGCTGGGCGCTGCTGTGTCAATGGAACGTTCTATTGAGTGTCGTCTCTTGGTCATTCTAAGCTCTTTGTTGATAGTTACTAGTGTTTTAATTGAATCAGCATTTTTAAATTTCAAGGATTTGCTGCCACCTACTGGCTGTTTTATTGTCAGTTTTTTATCCATTATGGACGGCCAAAACACACTCAAAATAGTTTTTGTTTAACAAAGACAAGATGGTATTTATGTATTTATCTTTGTAAAATAAATTAGCACATCTTTTGTTTTTTATAACTTTTTTTACAATTCCATTAACTTGTTTTTCTTTAAAAAGGGCAGTTGTTAGCTGTTGGTAAACAGCAAGACAGGTTTTTAGGTATATCAAGGGTCACCATGACAAACAGAAAAAGCATGTTACTTTATGTTAGTGCAAGCTATTTCAAAGTCTCTTTAAGACAAGTCATTTCACTTGGCGGCTATCTTTAAAACGCCTCTCAGGCAGCATGTTCAGGCATTCTGTTTGAATGGGAAAACATCAATTTCTCCAAAACTGCTCTCCAAGATTATGATTGAATTTCATATTTGGAATTATCAGTAAAAGTAAACATCAACTGTCTTTTTAATTTAATTTCTAAACGTCCGATTCACATAAAATCTGCACAAACTCACGTCTGGTCCCAGCCCCTCCCCCAGAGTATCGTCAGTCTATAGCGATCAATGATTGGCTCCTGTACTAGAAGGCGGGCTTTATTCACCATATTGACCATTACACTTTTCCTCATTCAAAATGCTATTAGTGACATGCCTTGTTTATTCTAAAGTCTTTGGCTAGTCTTGGTCTTTCAGGGAATACATTTTTTTTTAAATATAGAATGAAGAAGTTGTTGGAAACTAGTGGGATGATTTTGATATTATGTGACTGGGGTGTAGTATATTAATAGTCTACATTTATCTTTTTTCAGTTCTATTTATTCTTAATAAAAGTGTCAATTTTAAATATTATCATGTTGATCAAAATGTGTTGTTCACAGAGTTGGGTTTTCACTGAGGGAACTAGTGTGATGCTAACTTCTGGGTGGCCTACAAAAATAAGGAATCGTTGCAGCACTCTAATGGTTGTCAGCAAAGTGTATGTCTGCAGAAATATGATGTGATTTGAAGCAATGGCCATTATTCACCAACTCTCATTTGGTCTCCTGTCTTTGTCAGTGTGAATCTGTTACAGAGACGTCAGCAATACTGACAAATTCGTCTTAAGTAGATAATTGGCTAAACCTGTCCAACCCCCCCGTAACCCTGTTTAATCTGCATAAACTGTGATTACACGACAGGTCAAGCCATCACCGTAGCAATGGAGAATTTTGAGTTAGTCGCACCAGCCATTGATGCCAAATGTTGGGTTGCAATGAGGTTGTATAAATTGTCAGTCTATAACTGAGCAGTCAAAAAAAAAAAAGCGATCCTTTTTAATCATACCTGATATGCAGGTAGTTCATGTTCATTCATTCCTGGTGTTCGCAGCTTAGTTTGATCTGTGGCACTGTAATAGCATGACCTTTGGTGCTGTGGACCTTCTGTCCTATAGCTCTAGATACAATGTGGTTAAGACTTTTTTCATTCCAACTGTTATAAGTAACATTTAAGTGCAACATTTTGGTGCTTCAGCCAAAAAATTTGTTAACACTTGATCAAAAACTGCCTGTGTCGATCAGTTGCATCCCAGGTATGCTGCGAACAAATTTGTAATATTTCAGGACCACAAGAAACAAGATGTTAGTGTTTTTTGTTTTAGTCTGTCTTTTGCATTTTAAAATTTCAAAATCGTCATTTTGCTTATATATTCACCATTAACATTTTTAACAACAGATTTAGCATTTTCTCAAACTAGTCAAGTTTTGTGAGCGAATGCTAAGATTCATTTAGAGAATGTGAAAGTTTTGTGAAATAATGCTGCGTTTAAAAGTGCTGTATGCAAGTTTTAGACTCTTTTAAAGCATACAAATACCATAATATGTTTGTAGATATTTAGGAAACATGCCAAGTGAACACCCTTGTTTATCTGAAAAACAATGCAGCCAGATATTCTGCTTTGAAAATGTGCTTTCTGTGCTGGAACGCTGTCTTTGTTTTGGGTCTTTTAACCCACCCAATGCCAGTTTAACCAATTAAATTTCAGTACTCGGGTTGCCTTGGTGGAAAACTGTGCATTTATTTATTCAGAAAGGCTTTGAAAGAATATGTCCATGACTGAAATGTGACTTTCAGTGGACAGTAGCAGACTCCGAAATGAGACCGATTCAGTTCCACATGAGGTTATTATTAGCAAATAAAATAAATATTAGGAAAGTAAACATTAGGTGAGCAGGCTACATTGCAACTGCATGTCCTAACAACAGGCTTCGTGATGAGATACGCAGTGATAAGCAGTTTGGCTGTTTGCACCAGACTAAACATGACAGAAATTTAAATACAGCCATTCAAAACAGAATATGCACTCAGTCACAAAATGGTAAGGTTTACAATCAATTTAATACATATTAACCCTCTTTAATATTATTAATGTACATGCGGAATCACTGATATGTGTTTAGTTCTAAAGTTCAATTTGAAACTCGTAGCTGATCTGACGTAAACTATCTGCTGCTGCTTTCAGTAGTATGGCAATAAATGTCATGTAAAATGGCATTCAAACTCACGTTATTAAGATTTAACACTAAATAATGCACATGAGGTTTACCTGAGTTGATCATTCTCATAGTTTTCTGTTGTTCACCTGAAGCCATTTCTAATATATCATTTATATCGATTCGAGGTGTTGTTTAGTACAAAAACTTTCTTTAATATGGAAAATATTCGTTCTATCATGTGTTGTTGCTTTTATTTAGAACACAGTTTAATTCATTCGTTCCTGTCCTCAATCTAGCAAACTGCGCTAGCGTTTGTTTTGATCCAAGAGTGCAATACCTAGTTCAACCACTGGGTGTCAAACTTACATACTGCACCTTTAAGGAAAGCGGTACTTTTTTTTTTTTTTTTTTTTTTTTTTTAGGGTTTTGGGCTCACCTACACTGTAAAAAAAAAAAAAAAAAAAAAGAAAAAAAACCATTCTGTTTATTTACGGTTGTGAATTGTGTTTTGGGATTTGTAGAATTTTTATGTTAAAAATTTACCTACAGTTTGACAAAGTGACTTTTATTGACATTTTTGCAGGCTAGTTATAATATACTTTAGTAATGACATTGTATAAGAAACAATATATAGAGAAATAAGTCTGTAAAATAACAAGAAAATCTACTGGCAGTTTATTACAAGGTTTTTGTACCGTAATACACAACACCAGCCCAGACAATATATCACTGTAAACTACTAAAAATGTTTATAAAAGTAACTTTTTAAACTTTTCAAGTTTACAAGTTGTTGGAAGAAAGATCAAAGTCCCATAATGCAATTCAAAAGCATGAATAAAGAGAGAGGGGAAAAGCAAGAATCACAAAAGAGGAAAAACTGCTAATTCACAGATACTTTTTACAGTGTAGAATCCAAGAAAAGTTAAACCAAAGGTGCTGAATTCCATTGTGAATGTAAAAAGCTATTAATTATTTACATTTAAAAAAGGAGTGAACCCACTGACTTGAGCAATTAAAAAAAAAACTGAACTTAAAACTTGCAACTGTTCAGTTGACAATGTTTTATATAATTTTGCACATCATTCATTTGCTAAAGCAATTTAAATGTGTTCACTTTTTTAAAGTAAAATCAACTAATCACTTTTTACTGAGTGATTATTTAGATTCAATATTTTGGCATTTTCTTGGAGTTTAGCATTCATCTAAAAAAATGGCAGACATGGAAAAACAAACAAAAAACAAGGATCTTTACATTCTCTCACAAAGCAATCTCTTGAAAAGGT